TGGTATGGGCATGTCACAAGATCCACAGGACTTGCCAAAGCAATCCTACAAGGAACTGTACTGGGAAAGAGAGAGGAAGGCAGAGAAGGAGATGGGAGGACAATATTACAGAGTGGACAGGGAAGACGATGGGTGACAATGTGAGGAAAGCAGAGGACAAAAATAGATGGCGAGAGCTGGTTTTCAGATGCAGTGGTGCCCCTACGGTTGCTCCAACCACGGGATAGAAGAAAAATAAGATCTTAAATAAAAGTCGCGATATCTTAGGTTAAAGGAGATGGGAGTCACCTGGTGTCAGAAGTAAACAATTAGCCAGAAAATGGCCCCCCGTAGATTGGCGACTGCCAAAACCCGAGAGCGTCGTTGAAACTGCAAATCTACCCCCAAAAATTGTGTGCCTTTGGTCAACATATTTCAGTAAAATCCACAAATATTTCTGTTTTTGAATGGACAAAAGGTGTTAAGCCAGAAAAGAGACCCCAAGAATTCATTCAAAAAGTAAAAAGGACCAACGTTCAGAAAATGCGGATTTCTCTTATTCCATTATTTTGTTTGACGAGCGACTGATTTCACCACGGTTTTGCCCCAGAAATTATTACTTCGACTGGCAGTGTGCATACGGCATTACGTCGTAAACCATGGAAAAATATGCGCATTCTCAATGGCACTTCTTTACCCTACGTACCCCCCCACCCACCCACACCCACACTCTCCCCGATCCGTATCCCATCCATCTTTTTCATCCCCATTTGCCACCTGCTGAACCCTTGCTCCCCTTTCTGCAATTCCTACCCCCCCCCTCCCCCAAATCGATGGTCTACATGGAGTATGAGGATACACTTTTCATCTCGACCTCTGAATTCATCACCTTTTCCTCCATTATTCTGATCACATTTTCCTCCATTATTCTGATCACCTTTAGCTCCATTATTCTCATCACCTTTACCTCCATTATTCTGATCACCTTTTCCTCCATTATTCTGATCACCTTTACCTCCATTATTCTCATCACCTTTACCTCCATTATTCTCATCACCTTTACCTCCATTATTTTGATCACCTTTACCTCCATTATTCTGATCACCTTTACCTCCATTATTCCCTTCACCTTTACCTCCATTATTCCCTTCACCTTTACCTCCATTATTCTAAACTACCAGAGAGAACACAAGCACATGCTTTTTTGATTTGAAATAAAAACAGGGAGTTTTAGGATATGTTTTTTCCTGGTCAAGAATCTACCCTTTATTGTGTGTGCAAGGAGGGGGTTGGGGTGGGTCTCCATTTACTTTGAGAGAGGAATTTTAAAAGATTGTTTAAAGAAACAAACGTTTAGAAACCAAAGAAAAACGAAAAACAAAAATATACAGAGAAGCTCTCACTACCCAACTAAGACTTTTACCTTGACTCAACCGCAATGCATTGCAGTCTCTGTCTTCGCAACAACAAAAATAATTTCTTTAAATTTAAAGACTTCGTTAAAATTCTTCTATACTCGTGTTATATTTTTGTGGACTTCAATACTATAGACAGTGTAATTCGTTTGGTTTGACGGTTAAATTTAAGACACGCTCTGAAGTTACTGGTTTAGATTAACTTTTATTGGTGAATGTTTCATCTGATGGAACTGATTCCTGGGGTTGATCGTTTGTTCTAGTGTGTGCCGCATGGTTAAATAGGTCTAGCTTGTATTCGAATGCTTTGCTAGGAAGTTATTGTCAGAGCATGCTATGTGTCAGGTGTTGAGGGTCAGAACTTTGCATGAGGAGTTGTGAGGATATTATTATTATTGTTATTATTATTATTGTTATTATTATTATTATTATTATTATTAT